GCTGGAGCCATCGCCGCGAGGCGGAGGGCGAGCTCCTCGATGTTCGCCGAAGGGGCCTCGACGGCCATCGCCAGCGGCGCCAGCGATTCCACGGCCGTGCGGACGGCGGCCGCCACCGCAGCCGCCGCTACATGCCGCGTTGAGCCCGCCGCGCCCGCAGCCGCCCCGCGCGCTGCTTGCTCGACGGCGCCAGCCAGCGCGCCCCAGGCTGCGGGATGCGCATCCACACCGCTGACATCGCCCGACATCAGCGGAAGACCGTAGCCACTCACGAGTGCGGGAAAGGGCGCCCCCCGCGCGGCTCTTGAAGCAAAATGGCGACGGATGTGCTCATCCTTGTTCCGCCATGCTCCTGGGTGTTCTGCCCTGGTCCTGCGTGCTCTGCCTTGCTCCGATGTGCTCTGCCGTGAGTTCTTACGTGCTCCTATGCATTCTGTCGTTCCCCCGTATGCTCTTTGTAATATGCCGTGCTCCTGTTTATTATGTCGTGCTCCCGTGTGTTCTGCCGTGCTTCCTGCTTGTTCTGCCATGCTCCTGTGTGATCTGCCCTGGTCCTGCGTGCTCTGCCGTGCTCCGATGTGCTCTGCAGTGCTCCTTTGTGTTATGCCGTGCTGCTGTGTGTGTGTGTGTGTGCTTGTGTTCTGCCGTGCTCCTGTGTATTCTGCCGTGCTCCTGTGCATGCTGTGTGCTCTGCCGTGCTCCTGCGTGTTCAGCCGTGTTCCTGTGTGTTCTGTCGTTATCCAATGTATTCTGTGTGTTCTGTCGTGCTCTGCCGTGCCCAGGTGTGCTCTGCCGTGCTCCTGTGTGTTCTGCCCTGTTCCTTCGTGTTCTGCCGTGCTCCTGTGTGTTCTGCCGTGCTCATATGTGCCGTGCTCCTGTGTGTTCCTCCGTGATCATATGTGCTATATGTGTTCTGCCGTGCTCCGCGTGCTCCTGCGTGTTCTGCCGTGCTCCTGTGTGTTCTGCCGAACTCCAGTGTGTTCTGCCGTGCTCCGGTGTGTCCTTTGTAATCCGCCGTGCTCATGCGCGTTGAAGTTAAAGGCGGGGCCTTCAAGGCAAGGGGGGCGCCGAACACAAAACGGACAGGGCCAGACGGGACCCGCGTTCCCGAGAGACGCCGAGTCCCCGCAAGCACCGAGGGCCAGGGAGCCCACTAACTACAGAGAGCAGCAAGCAAGAGCCTCATCGATGCTAATATCCACACTCACGGACTGAGCGCCGCGGCGCGCCAGACGGCGGCTCACCCAGCGGCCCTCCAGGGCGCCCGCCGCTGCTCTGGCCAGGCGCCGACGAGCCCAGCTCTCGTCGCAGATGGGCACGCGCCGCAGGGGTGCCTCCCTTCACTCTCTGCCTGGCAGCTCGCGGCCAGATTCCAGGATGGAGTGCCCGCAGCCACATGCTGCGCTAGTTCCTGCCTGACTTGTCTGCCGCCTGGGCGCCGCTCTTGAATTGACGAGGCGTCGCCCCCGGGCGGTCCCCCTGCGCCATGTAGGCGCCGCACTTGGAGCAAGCCCCGATCTCCTTGGTGCCCCCACCTTCCCGCGCACTGGCGTCGGACAGGGCGCGCCCCAGGATGCTGACGGCGACGGCGCTGACCGAGAGGGCGGTGGACCTGCAGCTCGTCGAGCGGGTGCTCTCCAGGCGTGGCCACTTGACCAGAGCCCCAGCACCCGCTGCCTCCTCCACCGCCTGGGACGGCTCGACGTCTGCAGGACGCGACTGAAGCCGCTCAGCAGCAGGAAGGAGCCATTCGCCATACTCGGCTTCGCCGCCCTGCCAGGTGATGGCGGCCTGACAGCTCCAGCGCCCTCGCTCCCGCCCGATCGCCGACGGCGCGTGATGCTCGCCATCCGTCGGCTTGTCGAGATCAAGCGCAAGGCCTCCCATCTTGGCTAGGCGGTCTGCGTGCCCTGCGCCGCGCCTCTGAGTCTCCGCCAGGCGGCCGTCGAGAGAGGCCTGCCACTCGCAGCGGGCTGGTATCCTCTTCACCTCGGATACGCCTGGCTCGATGGCTGCCAGGATATTGCCCCTCTGGTGGGCCTTGGCCTTGCTGGGCGCCGCGGCGAGCGCACATCTCCCCTGCAGGCAGGCCGCGGTGGCGCTGCTGACGACGCTGATCTTCCCCATCGGGAACCCCGCAAAGTTGGCGAGCATCCAGCCAGCGAAGCCCTCGCCGTCCTTGGCCGCCTGCTGTTGGCCGAGGTCCCACCTGAAGGTGCCGACCACTCCTGCGACCAGGTCGCCGTCGTCGTCGCACTGCACAATGGCCCAGCCAGCGAGGCTCAGGGCTCCGACCCGCAGCTCGAGCGCCGAGCCAAGGAAGTACCGCTCGCCGTTGAAGATCCTGCCCCGCGTGTGGGCGAAGTGGGCGCCGCGCGCGCGCCTCTCCTTCACGTTCAGCTCGCTTCCTGGCCCGAGCGACTGACCGATGGTGCCCCCGCACTGCAGCCGATGCGAAGAGGTACACGGCTGAGCGTCCGCAACTCACGGCGGGCTGAGGCCTGCTGAGCAACCAGGCCCGCCCCCAAGATCCGCGCCCGAGGCTCGAGGGCCATGGGAACGAACTCGTCGCCGTGCACCGCGACCCAGTACCGCTCCGACTTGAAGTGCCAATCGATCCGCGCCAGGGACCGACCCGTCACCCCGATGGGCGAGGCCCCGAGTGCCTCCAGCCCTCCACTGGCGCCCTGCGCCGCCACCGGTAGGGCGGGCGCTTCCCCGTGGGCGTTGGGCCGCTTGCTGCCAAGGCGGGCCACCTCGGCGCTGCTGCCGCCAAGCTGGCGTGGCCCCGCAGCGCTGGCCTGACTAGGCGTTCGCCTTCACTGGCGGCGCCCCCCCGCCCCCACCCCCAGCGGCGCGGCCAGCAGGGCGAGCAGCCAGAGGGTCCAGGTCAGCAGCCTCGGCTGCCAGCTCCCGCTTGCAAGCCTGTGCCACCTGCGGCCGCTTGCCGAGCGCGCTGCCATGCCGCTCAGCTTGGCCGCGCTTCGCTGCGGCCTGGGGCTGCCAGGGGCCGCTGCTGCCTGCGAGGTTGCCTTCGTCGCTGCTGATCTCGCCCATGGGGCGGGACTCTGCCCGCGGTGCTTGCGCGGGGGCCAGAGGGGGCCCCGCGAGCTGCGCTCGCACCGCCTCCATCTGGGCGCGGATGGCTGCCCATGCGACCTCGAAGTTGCTGGAGGCCCAGGCTTCTGGCAGCTTGTCCAGCTGCGTGAGGAGCCCTGGCACCTGGCTGGCCCCTGCCCACTCAGCGGCCCGCTGGCGCTGCCTCGCCTCCGCCCCCTCACGGGCGGCTTCCTCGAGGACCTGGAGCGCCCTGCTGGCCTCCTCAAGCGCGCCGTCGAGCTCCGCGAGCACCTCCTGGGCCTTCTGGGGCTGGGCCTCCGCGAGGTCGCGCGCCACCTGCTTCTTCTCCAGGTCCTGGCGGGCTGCGCGGAGCCGCTTCTCCGCCTTGCTGATGGCGTTGGCCTCCTTGTGCAGCAGCGTCGACCGCGGCATGGTGGCGGCCTTCTGCTCCGCTGCGGCCCGCTGGGCCCTGGCCAGCTCTGCCCGCTTCGCTTCCAGCTGGCTGGCCGGGACGCCGGTGAAGCTGCTGTCCACGCCCTCGGGCGGCCCAGCCTGCAGCGCCTCCAGCTGCTCGACCGTTGCCTGCGGCCTCTCGATCGCCGTGACTCCGCCGCCGCTCGGCGCCCCACTGGCCGCAGAAGCCGAGGTCTGCGACTTGGCGGATGCCGCTCGCGAGGCTGCGCTGCGGGCCTGCCGCTGGGCTTTGCGCCCCCGCGGCTGGTCCACCCATCCGTCCTTGTCAGCCTTGGGCTTCGCCACGGCGGGGGCCGAACCCAGAGCCCAGGGCGGCGCTGCATGCCCACAGCTGAGGCAGGAGGATCGCCAGTCCCAGTTCCAACCTCCGCGGCCGCACATCCAGTACGGCCTGCTGCGCTTGCCACTGCTGCCGCCACGCGAGGGGCGCGCCATGGCCCCAGGCGCACGGGCCGACAGGTCGCGCCTCCGCGCTGCGAAAGCAAGGAGCAGAACAACAAAGTGCACTTGGCCCAAAGCGAGGAGCCCCTCGCGCTCGGAACGCCGCGGACGACTCGCGGTCGTCGGGTGCTCCATGGCCTTGAGCTAAAAAAGGCTACGGATGTGCTCATGTGCGTTCTGCCGGGCTCCTGCGTGTTCTGCGATACTCCCGCGCGTTCTGCCGTGCTTCTGCACGCTGGTCAGCCGTGATCCTGACAATTTGCTGAAGATGTTGCAAGCGAGTAGCGAAGTCTGAACATAGCTTGGCTCGAATGAACCCTTTCAACATCTCATTTGTTCGAGGATGTCTCAGGCGATAGCCCCATTTTCATAATTTGTTAAATACGCGACTTTCTGTCTCTGGTGGATGTCTCGAGCGAGTTGCTTGCTTATGTTAAAGGCGATGTTGCGAACAACTCATTGTTGTGAGGACGAGTCGAGCGAAATGCGCATTTGGGGTCGTCTCGAAGGCGCTCTTGGGGTCATATTGAGTCTGGTTTGGGGCTCGTGCGGGGCCGTCTCGATGCCATGAAGAATGATACCAGCACGATGCCATACAGATCTCTATCTTGAGGTTGTCCCAACCGAAATCGTCATGTTTGAAGTCTTGCTTGGGCCGTCTGGAAGCCTTTTCAGGATCGACTCCAATACGATGTTAGAACAGCAGTTTTCAAAACGATGATTTTGTTTTTTTTTTTCATGTGTTGAAGATGTCTCTAGTCCTGACATCAATAATCGATGTAAGATCTTTTCGCTCTCGAACCCTGATCGCGACAAAACGGCTACATTACATGGATGCATGGAAAAAGGGGGGGGGGGGGGAGATAATTCCGCACAAAACTGCCCGAGTGCACATAATTCCCCCCCCTGGGCCTTCCAGCGCGCAAGGGATACGTAGGAGAGGCACAGAAGGGCGTCCGGGGCGACATATCTCGACACCCCTCCTCGAACCTCTTGCCGAGGGCGCACGCGCAGCGGGGCAGGCACTAGCCGCGGTGCCCGAAGCAGAACGCACGCGCTCCACGGCTCACAAGACGGCGCCTCCGCAACCTCAGTCCACGGCAGGCAGCGTCGGTGTGGACCGCGCTCTCGTCACTGTCCGCGCGGTGCAGCACTCGCAACCCCTGGCCCAGCACCTGGGCACGCACCAAGCACCCGCTCCTCGTCGCCTGGCGGTGGACCCGATTGCGCAGAGCCTGGCAGTTCGGGCTCGAGTGGATCGCGGCACCGTCCACGCCCAGGTTGCACAGCAGCACGGCCCTGCCACGCGGCTCCGACGGCCCCCGGCAGGGAGCGCAAGGAGCAGGAGGCGGATCGGGTTCCGGCTCCGATCGGTCCTTCGTCGAACTCCCGCTGGGCTTGCCCTTGGAGCAGCCCTTGCCTGTCCGTCTTGCCGCTGGCCTCCGAATGCACCAGCACCAGCAGCGCCGGCTCAGCATCGCGCCCACGAGCATGCAGAAAGCAGGCCAGGCCGTCATGATCACCACGTGCGCGTCGGGTCCGCCATCGGACGCGCCTGGCTGAGCCCTCACGCAGTTCACGAGGACCATGAACGTCGCCAGGTACCGGGCTCCTCTCGACGCACTCAGGGCAGCCACGATGCCAGTGCCGAAGACGTCGAGGGGGACCAGACCGAGCATGGTGCGGCACTTCTCGAGCGCACCCTTCCCCAGGAACTTCGCCCCGACGTCGGGGGGGTTCTCCGCGCCCTTCACCTTCGCGATCTTGAGCTGGCCCGCCCCGACCAGCTGCTGGAGCCAGAGCCACTTGACCCCCAGGTGGCGCAGCCTGCCGAGCCCGCGCCACGAGGCGATCGCGATGGCGGAGGGCGCGTCGCACTCGATCTCCAGCGACGCGTCGAAGCCCATGAACTTGACGAGCTCCTTCACGTACAGCATCTCCGCCGCCAGCTCCACGGCCGCCAGGTACTCGGCCTCGGGGCTCGACTGGGCGAGCGAAGACTCCGCGCGGGCGTAGGCGCTGATGACCACACCACCACACCATTCCGCACGCCGTCGACTTGCGGGTCTCGTGGCATCCCGCCCAATCCGAGTCGGCGCTACCTCGAAGGCGCTTGAACTCCTTCGTGGAGCGGTGGGCCATGGCCAGGTCGACCGTCCCGTTGAGGTAGCGGAGGAGGTGCTTCAAACACTTCATGTCGGCCGCTCGCGGACCGAGCTCCTTCAGCGGGGGCATCGCGTCCAGCCTCCGCGGGGCCGGGTGCTGGATCTCCCCGCAATACCTCCTGTACAGCGACGGCCCCTCGCTGTTGAGCGGCTGCTCGGCTCCGGGCTGAGTCAGGTCTGGCCTGGCCCCAGCCGCGCCCACAGGCCTGCTGCCCGACGCCCCCGCCGCGTCGAGGCTGCCCTCGACGTGCCCGGGGGCTTGCTCCTTTCCGCGATCACGCCCCCAACCTCTGCAGCGACGAGCCGAGGTAGATCACGGGAGATTCGCCCAGGACGTGCTGCCCCTTGATTGCGAGGTGCTTGGCCATCTCGTCGAAGAACTCGTCGAGCGCGCCCCGCGTGGGACCTGAGGCAAGAGGATCGTCCGTGTGGACCACGACCCTGATGCCCTTCTCGATGTGATGGTAGATGGTGGGCTCCGCCTTGCAAGCCTCGAATCCAAGGCCAAACGCGATGCCCTCCTGGATCTCCTGGAATCAAATCTCATCCTCCCTGAGCCCATAGAGAGACCTCTTCAGGTTCCAGACGTACCCGCGCCCCATGCCGTGCTCAGGCGGCATCTCCACGTAGATCTGTGCCGTCCTTCACGGGCGCGTGCATGAACGCCGCGCTGAAGTCCGTCGTCACGATGAAATGCTTGAGCAGCAGCGCCGCCGCCATCAGCGCGCGCACAGCCTCCGTGCGCGGGGTGCAGGGAAAGAAGTCCCCCGCCTGGGCGCCCCTGAACTGCTTCGCGACGAACCTGCTGCGAACGCCCTCTCCCTTCTTGCGGCGGCACCATCTCGTGCCCCGCGCCTTCTTGTCGCGGGGGCGCTCCGCGACCTCGCCGACGCCGAGGGGCTCCATGCACTTCGCCTCCCTCTTGATCCCCTCGCGGACGGCGTCTGGGTCGAGGCACTCACCGTCGTCGTCGTCGTAATGCGCCTCGCTCCGCAACTCGAAGCTGGGGTCGAGCTCGCACGGAGCGCAGAGCTCGGCGTCGTCGGGGTAGCCCATCACGTTGGCGACGGACACGCTGCCGACCCTCACCATGCCGATATTCCTCTCCTTGTGCGCCTCGCCTACCGCAGGCGCCTCATCGCTGGCCCGCTTGCCAGCCGAGCTCTCGGGCTCCTCGACTGCTGCGCGCCGCAGCCCGCTTGCCGCGCGGCTCGTTAGGAGGCGACCCCCTCCCCTGGAGACAAAAGTTCGAGTGGCGGTGCGATCTGCCCAGGCATCCACTACAGCCCGGGGTAAACTCTGTTGACATCGAGCCGGGAAGCACTCGTGTAGCTGGTCGCCCCCTCGGCCTCTTCGCGACGGGCTGAGGCGCATCCCCAACGTCGCCCATGGCCTCGCCGCCGCCAGCAGCTGCCTCAGCACCTCCTGGGCCCCCCTCCTGCGGCTTTGCGAACCTCGCCCCCCTCGCCGGCGGGCCCGGCTGACCCTCCCCGGGCGCGGCGTCCGCAGGTCGCGGGAGCCTGGCGGGCTGCGGGAGTTTGAGGCTGACGGCTGGCCTATCCACCACCGGCGTCGATGCGTTCGGCGCCTTCGTGTCGCTCGGGATGCCCTTCATGGCCAGGAGCAGCTGCTTGTCGTAGCCCTCGGACTCCACGAGCCTGCGGATGGACCTCGACAAGACGATGCCGCGCCTGGTGCCGCAGATGTGGGAGTCGCCCTCCAGCGATCGCCCCAGGTAGATGCCGCAGCCCCACGCGGACTCAGACTTGGCGGCGATGGGCCCAGGGTGCCTCCACATGACCGTCTCGCCGAGTGGCAGGACCTTCATGGCGCAGCGCCTCGCGTGCCGGCGCTCGTAGGACGACTTGTAGTCGGAGCGGTGGACGAGGAAGCGGTCGTGGGTCCACGAGGCGCGGCGCGCGATTCATGCCATCCAGGGGCGCCTCAGCTCGATCACGATGCCGTACTTCGCCCCTATGGCTCCCCTCCAAGTCCTCGTCATACCCTCGATGAATGAGTGGGGCCTCTCCACCATGCCCTTGCTCCCCTTACTCGTCTTCAGTGTGAACCTGAACCTCGCATTGCTGCCGATGTCGCTCGCGACCTTGACCGCCGCGTCCTTGGCCGCGTTCTCGGGATCGCACTGGATGATAACCTTCTCAAGCCCTAGCTTCTCCACGTACCGCTTGAGACACTTCAGAAGAAACAGGTCCCCCCCACCTTGCGCCTCGCGCCAGACCGAGGCCGCGCAGTGGTAAACGTGATCGATCGCGTGCATGACTGGGCGCGCTCTCACGTAGCGATGCGTCTTGCCGAACAAGTAGCCAATCTGGATCACAGGCGCACCTTCCGCCTCTTTGATCCTCTCGCGCCTGTCGCCAAGGCCTCGCCCCCCAACGCAATCCGCGCGCAGCGCTGCGCGCGGACGCCGGAGAGCCTCATGGGCCTCCTCTCGGCTCGCGCAGGTTCCTTCGGTGCTGTCATTACCGTAGCCTCGGGCCTGACTGCCGGCGCTACCGGCTGGCCCACCTGCGTTGCGACGTGCTGCTCGGGGACGGTCGTCGCCGCGTTGTTAACGACCAAGCCGTCCGCGCCGATCTTGGCGCCGAAGTAGCTCATCACCGTCGCTCGCAGGAAGAACAAGCCGAACATCCTCATCAGCCCAAGCCGCGATCGCCCGCTCCTCGAATCCCGCGTGATCGAGGGTGAGCTCGTCGAGCGGGCAGGTGGGAACTCCTCCCCAGCTCCTGCCTCGTGGATGCTGTAAACGCTCGGGATCGGTTGCGCCGCCTCCGTGGCGTGGAATATCACGCTGATCTCGTCGTCGTTCTTCGTCGTCAGGTTCACCTGCTTATCCCCGAAGTGCCTCAAGGGGGTCCCGTTGGCCACTTTGATATCCGGCTTCTTGTCCTGCGTGATGGGGTAGTCGGGGAAGTCGCTGGGCCCGCGCGCAGACTTGTCGGCGCCAGTGTCCACCATGACATCGACCGTCTGGCCAACGCTCGCACCGCTCGGGCCGTCGAGCCCGCCGATCGCAAAGATCCACGCAGCGTCCTCGCACCCGGTGCGCTGGGGCGCGTTGGCGCTGGCGGTGGCGCTGGCGTCCTCGCGGGAGGGTGCCGCGCCCTTCTCCTTCTCGTAGGTGGTGTCCCAGCTGCCCCAGCTCTCGTCCCAGCCGCTGCTGTTCCAGGTGCTCACGCTGTGGACCTTGGCGTAGCAGTCCTTCTGCTTGCGCCCCAAATTGCCGCGTCGTCCACAGTGTCCTAGGACCTTCTTCTCTCCGCTGGCGCTGCCACCGCCACTACTCGTAGTGCGTGTCTTGTCCTTGTCTTTGCCCTTGGAGTCGTAGCCCGCGCCCTTACCGCGGCCCTTACCTTTGCCATGTTCTTTTCCGCCCTTGCCGTTGATGGGGCCGATGTCCATCGGCGAGGGACCGCCTGGCATGGACTGCTTCGTGAACAGGAAGTCGGCGGCCACCTTCTTGATCCTCGCCCAGTGGATCTCCTCCTTGGGCATCGCCAGCAGCACGTGGTTCCTCGAGGCCTCTGGAGCCCTGGCGATCAGGACGGCCGTGCGGATGTTGTCGCTGAGGGTCTCGTTGGCTAGCTTCTCGTACTCCTCAATCGAGATCTCGAACTTCGCCATATTGTCGAGGAACTCCGCTTCTCCGCCGAAGTCGAACTCCAGCGCGCTCATCAGTCGCGACAGGCTGCTGCCCATATTCTGTGGGTCGTACTGGGAGCTCAGCCTGCGATGTGCCTCGGATCCGTCCTGATTGCTGACCTTCCGGATGATGCCGACTGGGGTGCCTTCCGCGTGCATCGTGAGCTGGTAGAACAGAGACTGCGCCATCTGCCTCCGCTCGTCGTCGTAGTTAGCGGAGTTCAGCTGGACCTGGCCTTATTCGACCTGTGTCATACCTTCCAAGCACTTCCGACTCTGGTTGCTGATGAAAGCTTCGAGCTTGAAGTTCCAATCGTGAGAGTCTGGCTTCTTCACATGGTCGAAGGTCGGCGGCTTGCCCTTGTCACCGATGGTCGCGCTGGCGAACGCCTTCGTCGTCTGCTGCTGACTCGATGCCGCCGCCTTGGCTCGCTCCGCTTGCAGCCCCGTGATCGTCTGGTTCTGGGCTTCGACTGTCTCTATCAGCCGGCCCAATTCACCTCTCGTCTCCAGCAGCTCCGCCGCGAGCGCCTCCACGCCCATCGCGGCTGCCAAGCTGCCTCTAGGGCGGGCCGCCGAGCTCCGTGGATCTGCGGGCCGGTGTCACCCGCGCTCCTCTAAGCTCCTGACATCAATAATCGATGTAAGATCTTTCCGCCCTCGAGCCCTGATCGCGCCGAACCAGCTCCAGTACAGAGATGCATGGAAAAGGGGGAGGGGGGGAAATTCCGTACAAAACTGCCTTTGTACGTATTTACCCCCTTGGGCCTTCCAGTGCACAAGGGGTATGCAGGAGAGGCACACAAGGGCGTCTGGGGCGACATACCTCGACATCTAGCGAAATCGTCATTTTCGACAGTCTTCAGGGCGCTCTTGGAGCCATCTTGGGGTCCTTTTGGGGCTCTCATTTCTTATATGAAAGCACTTTGAATCAAGAACGATGTCAAGACGTTGTTTGGTTGAAGAGGTCCACAAAAATACAAAATTTCGGCAATACTATTTTTGGGGTCTGCCATGCTGCCGGTCATTTTCTGAGGATGCCCCTCGCAAAAACGTAGTTCGCATGTTTACTAGGATGTCGACATCTCCGTCGACTTCTCGGTGTTTGCTCGGATGTCGACATGTTTGCTAATGTGTAATAACACACCTCCGTCGGCATCTCATGTTTGCCAGGATGTCTCAGGCGAAACGCCAGCCTCTACAGATTCATGAACTTCGCGGCGGTCAGCTCTTCGAGGATGTCTCTAGCGGAACGCTTGTCTTTCTTTAAATCCATGTCGCGAAGAGCTCATGCTTATGAAGATGTCTCAAGCGAAACCGCCATCCGGGGGCATCCGCTAAGCCTCACTCCTGTTGCGCCTGGCACCCTATATCAGTAGGAGACGTTTACATAATATGTTGCAGATTCGGCCACAACGTCAAGCTCGCTTCTCGTACCTCGAAGTCGCTTCCCGTCATCTGCTGACCCTTCGGCGCGCGAGAGAGGTCGTCGCCGTCGCCGTCGTGCCCCAAAGAAGCTGAGAAACAACAAGGAACAGGACGTTGTAATTAGATCGGCCCCCTTCCCTGCCGGGAAAGGGTCCAAGGACAGAATGCCGCGCCCCCCCGGGGTCCCTGCGGGTCCCAAGGGGGTGGGGTCGCCAGCGGGGGTTCAGCGCGAGGTCCCTCTGTGGTGAAGGGTACTCTTGGGTAGAATGTTACAGCCCCTCCCAGTGCCCCGACGGCGGGTCCCGACGGAGGGTCGATCGCCAGCGGGCGTCCCCGGGAAGATCACGCCTGAGGTGAAGGGGGATGCGGTCCCGGGTCAGAATGCAGCCCCCCCCTGGGGTCCTGGCGAATCCTGGGAAGAGTCGCCCGCGGGGGTCCCGGGGGAAGCGGGTCGTGCTCAAACAGGTTAGTCAATGCTGCTTAACTGCTGCTGCGACTGCTGCTGCTGGAATTACTATCAGCTCCTTCCCTGCTCATCTCTCCCACCACTGCTGGACCGCCGAATGAAATATGTTCTCCCGTGATCAAGTCGAAGAACAAATGTGCGAGGGGCTTGGCTGTTCGAGTCGTCGTCTCCGTCGTCCCCTTTCCCTGCAGCTTCCTTCTCAAGCTCGTGAGCGAAAGAAAAATCGAGCAGTGTCGTAGTCGAGTCGAAGGGAAGCCCCTTCCCTTTGATCCATTCCCCAGGGGGGGGGGAGTCCCGGGGGGTGTCCCGGGGGTGTCCCCGGGGGGGTGAGGGGGCAGATTCGTTTTTCCTCGGGCGGCCTAGAAACCTCGAAAACACTCCAAATGAGGTCCGAAAGCCCCAGATGGCCCCCGAGACGGCCCAAGAGGGCCCCGAGTCGCCCAAAGATCGGCCGAAAACGCCCAAGATAGCCCCAAGACCGTCCAAGAAGCCTCTATGACGTCCCAGGCTCCCTCCAAGAGACCCCCAGGAAGCCCCAAGAGGCCCCCACAAGGCTTCCAAGCGGCCCCTAAGAGCTTCCCAAGAGACCCACAAACTACCCCCAAGAGGCACGTCGTCGTCGTCCTCGTCGTCGTCGTCGTCGTCGTCACCATTCAGGGTCGGCGGCACCGGCCGTAAGGCCTTCGCAATATCTTCTCCCGTGATCAGGTCGAAGAACAATTACTCTGGAGCGGACTGCCTGGTTGACCCCGCACGAGAAAGCTTCGCGATCAAGCTGATCACCCTGCGGCCGTCGGAAAGGCAGGGGGCCTCTCGAAAGTGGCGACAGTTTCGCAGATCGCAGCCCCACAGGGATGACGAGGTCTCCTGATTGTCTGTGTAGGACGTCGCTCCACTGGACCCCCCAGCAGCCCTCGAGAGTGGCAACAGTTTCGCATCGCAGCCCCACAGGGATGGCGAGGTCTCCTGGTGGTCTGGGTAAGAAGTCACTCTCGATCAGCAGATCGGTCAAGGTCCTCCGAACGCCCTGCAGAGGGGGGCCGCTCGATGGCGCCTCTGCGAACGCGTCCTACATGACTGGGCCTGGTTTGCCGGGAGCCGCGACTGTGTATCGCAGGCTGGTCGAAGCGCCAGGTGCTGGAGGCCTCCGGGGGCGTGAGCCAGATATCGCTCTGGCGACCAGCGGCCGCACGCCGCTGGCAGCAGTGGCTAGGCCCGTCCAGGGCCCTGGACTGGCGCACAGGCCGTCCTGGCCGGCGAAGGCCAAGAGGGCACGCACACAAGTCCAACACTCCATCCCGCAAGCGCGTCTGCTCCCGCGCTCCGGTTCCTCGTTGAGGTCGAGCTTCTTGAAGGTTTCCTCCAAGCTTCCTTTGACCTGCACCACCTGCCGGGGGGGCAGGAGTATGAGGTTCGGAGGAGGAGGATGAGGCCGTTCGTGACCTGAGCCACATGCCAGGCAGGAGGACGCTTGAGGATCTCAGTGGATCGCTGCTCGTTCATACAATCAGACCATACATAACAGTGTACCCGCATAACGGCAAACGTTCTGGGGCTCCGGAGGCTGGGAAGGAACAGAAGGAATAGGACGCACGGATCGACGACGTGTTTTTGTCCGCCTCCCGGGGGTAACATGTACAGCGTTTACCTTTTTGCCTAGGCATAAAACAAATCGGGAGGAGAAAGCACCAGAGGCAGAAAGGGACCAGCCCCAGTTAGATCCCTCCTGGGGCCTTTGTCTCGTCTTTAGCCAGAACTCTGTCGATCACGGCCGCTATTCTCCGCTCGCGCGGGGAGGCGAGGTGGAGTCGCGAGAAATTCGGGGAACGGACGTCACACTCCTGTCAGGAAGAGCGCCCGGATCCGTGCCAGAGGGATCCACCTGTTCCACGGGTGACATGTTGCCGATGACTTCAAGCACACGCATCAGGTCCAAGCCATGGACGGAACATGCTGAAAACCTCCATTCGCATGCGCGATGGCACTTGAAAAATTATCCCGGCGAAGGACCCAACCTGATGCAGTTGTGCGTACCGCAGCTGTGAGTATCTTCTTCGGTAGCGATCCCTAGGGGGCCACGAAAAGCCTGAGGTCTGTGCCGGGGCCTTCGGTGGAGCTCCCTGTGGGGCCACGAAACGTGCAATGAGTGTGCCGACATTGGTGCTGTGGGCGCATTGGAACGCAACCACTGGGGCCTTCGGTGGAGCTCCTTGTGGGGCCACGGAACGTGTGAGGGGGGTGTCGAACTGGGTGCGGTGGGCGCATGCGAACGCAGCCACTGGGACCTTCGGTGGGGCTCCCTGTGGGGCCACGAAACGTTCGAGGGGGTGTACCGACATGGGTGCTGTGGGCGCAAGCGAACGAAGCCACAGGGACCTTCGGTGGAGTTCCCTGTGGGCCACGAAACGTGTGAAGGGTGTGCCGAAATGGGCGCGGTGGTCGCGTGTGAGCGCAGCCAGTGGGGCCTTCGGTGGAGCTCCCTGTGGGGCCACGAAACGTGTTAGGGTGTGCCGAAATGAGTGCGACGGGCCCATGCGAGCGCAGCCAGTGGGGCCTTCGGTGGAGCTCCCTGTGGGGCCACGAAACGTGTGAGGGGTGTGCCGAAATGGGGGCGGTGGGCGCATGTGAACGCAGCCACTGGGGCCTTCGGTGGGGCTCCTTGTGGGGCCACGAAACGTGTGAGGGGTGTGCCGAAATCGGTGCGGTGGGCGCATGCGAACGCAACCACTGTGGCCTTCGGTGGGCTCCTTGTGGGGCCACGAAACGTGTGAGGGGTGTGCCGACATGGGTGCGGTGGGCGCATGCGAACGCAGCCATTGGGGCCTTCGGTGGGGTTCCCTGTGGCGCCACGAAACGTGTGAGGGGTGTGCCGGAATGGGTGCGGTGGGTGCACTCGAACGCAGCCACTGGGGCCTTCGGTGGAGCTCCCTGTGGGCCACGAGTCGTGTGAAGGGTGTGCCGGAATGGGCGCGGTGGGCGCATGCGAGCGCAGCCACTGGGGCACTCGGTGGAGCTCCCTATGGGGCAACGAAACGTGTGAGGAGTGTACTGGAAAGGGTGCGGTGGCCGCATGCGAACGCAGCCATTGTGGCCTTCGGTGGAGCTCCCTGTGGGGCCACGAAACGTGTGAGGGGTGTGCCGAAATGGGGGCGGTGGGCGCATGCGAACGCAGCCATTGTGGCCTTCGGTGGAGCTCCCTATGGGGCCACGAAACGCTGTCCTGGGTGGGGGACCCGCATGCGAACGCAGCCATTGTGGCCTTCGGTGGAGCTCCCTATGGGGCCACGAAGCGCCG